GTCATTTGGGTTTTTGTTGCTAAGTCTATTATAGGGGGTATATGACTTTCAAACATCTTTCAAGCTTTTCTAGTGTTCGCCCCCTGCACTAGCCATTGTAATTTCCTGCTTTCAATCAATTGTAATTTCAAGCTTTCTAGCAATCAATGATCAAGTCATGTTCAATGTATTTCCATTTTATGTTGCAAGCTTTCTTTGAATTGTAATCAAATTTCTTTTCGTCCCGAAAGAACCGAGAGAAGGCGGAAGGTAGTCTAGCGGAGCAGACTACTGCCGCACGGTGTCCTTTTCTGTGCTAAGAAGAAAGGTAACCCGTGAAACATGGTCAGGTATAGTCTTGCATCTTCCATTAAGAAGACCAAAGGTACTCTAACCAATTTTTTTCACTGAAAATAAACTGTAAGAAGGTAAAAAAATCTCTGGCTCATACGTCGGAGAAAATGAAATGGATGTTTAAACTCCTACAAAAGTAGTGACTCCTACAGTTCCATGCCAATTCATAAAATTCATGACAAGCATCCATTTAAAATACTGAACCCCAAAAAATTAAATTTACACTAATGAAACTAGCAGCATCCTTGAATTGACAAAAAGATGGAGATAGGATCAAGAAAGCTTACTCCCATCTTTGCATTGGAAAGGTAATTTATCGACATGTCTATAGAAACATCCATAGGTTGTCCCTCAACGTGGATCACCGCAGCTCCTAATTCATCAACCAAAGTGGCAATAGCGCCAGGAACTAAGTTCCCATCCTTATTCTGCAAAATCAACCAAATCTCGATAAACAATTACTATATTTTGCAAATTCAAATGAACTATCGAGAAACAGAATCATGAATCAGTGGTTTAATTTCAATGGCTAAGTTTCCATTCCTCTTCTGCTAATCAAATCAAATTTCAACAAACACAGTAAAATCATTATCAGTGTTTCATTTGCTCAATTACCATTCATGTTCAGCAAAATCAAATCAATCTTTCTATATAAAAGAAAGAAGTCTAAAATCAGTTTTCTATGGCTAATTTCCCATTCCTATTCTGCAAATCAAACCAATGTTCAATAAACATCACCTTCAATCATTGTGTTAGATTCATTTGCTCAGTTCTCATTCCTATTCAGCGAAATCAAATCAAATTTGGAGAAAAGAAGACAATACAGAATTGTTTTTTTTTTTTTTTACTTAATTATCTAAATTGGCATTCATAATCTGCAAATTGAATCAAATTCGGACAAACTTCATGTGCAATCTCTAACCTCATTTCATTAACCAAGTTACAATCAAGTCAGTTAAAAAAACATAATACGTGGAGATTTACTGTCTTACAGTGAGGCGATGGGGCACTTTGAAAGAGCAAGCGATGGAACCGGGTTGGACTCGGTCGACTCGGATGCCTCTGAGGACGAAATACTCGTAGAAGCTTGAATCTATATGGGGTTTGTGAGGAGGGAAATTGAGTCGTGATACGAGATCTAATCCTTCAATTGTTGCAAATTTTTCAAGAAATTCTTTTGCCTTTTCCATTTTCGAATCCTCCGTCAAAAGATGGATTTTTTAGCAAATTACACAGAATCATAATTTTAAAGTTGCAATTTCAAAATATAAACTTTATTTATAAAAAACTCGAATATTAATTTATTTATTTCATCTACCTTCTCTCTAAATCATAATTATCCAAACTTAACCCTAATTTTGCCCCTGTTTGGCACCTATTTTTTTCTCATTCTCATTCTCATTCTTTTTCTCTTTTTTCATTTCAACTACACATTCTATCAATAAAATAATACTACACATAAACCTAAAAATTCTCCTTACTTTTTAACCACACATTCTTCAATCAATCACTATTCAAAAACTAATTTTTCTATTAAAATGGAAGTCTTCTTCCCCTCTTTTCTCTCTCTCTCTCTCTTCCCCATAAAGAAATGGCCGTCGCGGCCGCTTCCTTCACCACTAGATCTGTATTTCGGTTGTCTTCCGTTCGTAGCGCCGCCACTAGGTTGAGCTCCCAAGCGAAGGCTGCTCGCTTCCCCTTCCGCCTTCCTTCCGGGAACCCCCTAGCTCACCGCATCTTCCGGTGTCCAGCTAAGATGAGTTTTTGTGTGGGGTCAATGCTACCCTACCACAGCGCTATTGCCTCAGCTTTGATGACGTCGATGCTTACTATCTCTCGTTGCGGTTACGGTTCGCTTCCTGAAGATATATTGCAAAACATGTAGAGTGGTGATGGCGACGACGGAGTTAGTTCCTGACGGTAGATTTGGGAATTTTTTTGGTGAGAGTTGTGGTTTTGGAGTGGTAGGCTGGTGGTGGTGATGGTTTTAGTGTTGAGATAATGGTTTTGCTATAGATGGTTTCGATGTCAGTGGTGGTAGAAATTTTTTTGATTGTGGTGGTGGTGGTGGTGGTGGTGGTGGTGGTGGTGGTGGTGGTGTCGATGTTAGTGATGGTTACTGGTTGTAGTCGTGGTCGTGGGGTGGTCATCGCAATGTCAGTGGTGGTGCGGCTGTTGTTGTGGATTTGATTTGTTGATGTTTTTTGGGCGACGGTGGCAACGATTTTGTTGGATATTGGTGGTGGTGGTGGTGAGGTGGTAGTTGTGTTGGTGAAGTGATGGTAGTGATTTTGAAGTGGAAAATGGTACTTGTTGGAAGTGGTGGTGCCTGGTGAATTGGGGTAGGGCGTGAAATTAAGAGGGATTGTGATCAATTATTTGGGATTGTGACCATCAATTTGGGTATTCTGTGACTAAAAAATAACACGTGACCGATAAATTGTGACCGATAAATAATATGTGACCCAAAAATTTGAATGACTTATAAAATTTGTGATTTGTGACCGATAAATGAATTGTGATTATAAAATTTTTTATTATCGAAAAATAAATTTGTAACTAAATTGTATAAAATTACGACCAAGTTGTGACGTATAAATTTTTTTATTTGTGACCGATGAACAAATTGTGACTTATAATATTTCTAAATTGTGACATATAAAATATCTGATTTGTGACCGTAAAATAATTTGTAACTAATAAGATTTCTGACTTGTGACCTATGAACAAATTGTGACATATAAATTTTTGAATTGTGACCGTAAAATAATTTGTGACATTTCAATTTTTTATTTGTGATCAATGAACAAATTGTGACTTATAAAGTTTTTAAATCGTGACATGTAAAATTTGTGATTTNGACTGTAAAATAATTTGTGACATGTAAAATTTGTGATTTGTGACAAATTAATAATATGTGATCAATTATATAGAATTTGTGACCAAATTATATGGAATTGTGACCTTAATATATTTAATTAATAAAATATATGTTTAATTAATTAATTTATAAATAAAATTTAAAAATATCTGAAATTTGAAACTTAAGTTCTTAAATTTGAAATTGGTAAAACTAAACCTTTTAGTTATGTATTGTTCCCTTAAATATTTCAATATTCGCTGGGCCCTTATTTGTCTTATTATAGAGTAGTATAACTACGTAGAAATAATAAATTTTTAGAGTATGTGTTTAAAATGTAGGAAATTCACTTTGGCCCTTTTTTATTGTCACATTTTATATGAAAAATGTCAAATTCGAGGAAAACGAATTTCGCTTTGGCCGTTTGATTGTAACGTGGAAATGGAAATCGAATTCTAAGATACAACTACTTTAAACTGCATTTTCTTTGTTTTCATGGTAAATGAATTACTATGAGTTTAGTGTGTTTTTATTTTCCAACTACCATGGAATTTGAATTCATTTTCACATTTACCTATCAAACGGACCCTTAGATTTATTGTAATATTATTTTATTGAAAAATGTATGGTTGATAAGAAAAGAGAAAAAAATAAATTTAAATTTAATGGGGGCTAAACAGTGGCTAAACTTACGTGTAATATTATTTTAACAAAAAACGTGTAGCCTATATCATGATTATGGTTTACACCGAACTTTGTCCTTTGCCATAAAAACTTTTTCAACTTTCGTTGACGTGACTAACAGACTTAACAAATACGATTATTAAAAGGGTATGAAACTCAGTCAAATCATTATTTTATTACACATTCAACATGTATTTAATCATAGTTTACTCATCAAACTTCAAAATGATTTTCAATCGTTACTCATCTTTTAGATATTGCATTTCATCCATCATCTGCTATATTGCGTTCCCTTCATTGCTAATGTATCGCACAGAATTCCAAGTAACAAGTTACAATCGTTAAAAAAAGAGGAAAAATTTATATATAAGAAATTAAGTACGACACATTTCAAAACTAAGAAACAATTTAAAATTTCAAACATCAGATTTTTAAAAATTTTATTTATAAACTAATTAATCAAACATATATTTTATTAATTAAATATATTAAAGTCACAATTTTATGCAATTTAATCACAAATTATTTCTCGATCACAATAAAAAATTTTATAGGCCACAAATTATTGTATGATCACAAATAAAAAGAAATTATAGGTCACAGTTTATGCATCGATCACAAATTTATCAAATTAATAGGTCACATATTATTTATTGATCACAAATTACAAATTTTACAAGTCATAATTTTTTTATGATCACAAAATATCTAATTAATTAATCACAAATTAATTTTCGATCGCAACTTATCAAATTATTGGTCACAACTTTACAATTTTTTAGATCACACGTTATTTATTAGTTACAAATTATCTATTTAATTGGTCACATATTATTTATTAGTTACACATTAACCAATTTATTGATCTCAATCAACCAAATAATTGACCATCAACGACACCTCAGCAGCACCACCATTTGTGACCTCGACCACCATCACAACATCATCAGAACCGTCACTTTCACCACCACAACCATCACCACCAACACCCCACAATTGCCATCACCTCACCGTCGTCGTAGCCGCCAACACCTCCACCACAACCTCCATTTCTAAGTTCTAACCAACACTCATTCACAGATCTGTTAACAAGAAACCATGACGGTACCAACACTTCACTGCTATCGTCGGATCTACCACCACCACCATCACCATCACCATCACCGTTACCGCAACCAACCACCGTACCAGCAGCTGGCCAAAAGGGTCTCTCAATTGCAAAGGTCCCTAGCTTCACTCCGTTAACATCGCCTCCAACTACTATGAATTACCGAATTGCGCATAGAACCCCTACTACCACCGCCAGCACCAGATCCATCACCCTCGCCAGCACCTCCACCTGTACCAGCACCTCCACCACCAACAAAAATCACTCCAAAGCCCCCAACAACACCAAAATATGGAAAACCACCACCATCACTCCAATTACTAAAACCAAAACCACATCACCGTTGCCGCTTATCCACCATCACCATCGAATTGCAGCAGCGACATGGGCGAAATCGCTCTGCGACGTTCACGTCAAGTGGGGTTGCTACAGCGGCATCCTGATGGTGACGACGGTCAGAGGGTAGAGAGCGAGTAGTGAAGAGAGAATAGAGAAGAGAGTAGAGGAGAGAGAGAATGGTTTTAGGAATGGGGTAGTTAGGGTAGGGTGTGTGTGTATAAATTAATTTATAATATTATTATTAATATTAAAATATTGATTTATAATAATTAAATTAATATATGATTTTAGTATAAATAAACATTAGATCACATTTTTTAAATTGAATCTTACAAAATATGGTTGAATGTAATTTCTACCTTAAAAATTATAACTTAAGTAAACCATCAACTAATTAAAATCATCATATATGAAGCACAACTTCCACGGCCTCATAAACTTTTTAGAAACCCAATGAAGCGTCCACAATTTCAGTCCTAAAAAATCATAGTCCTTAATTCACTCATCTTACCCACGTATAGCTAAATTGTATAATAATAGAAAATTGATTGTTAAGAAAGATGAGAGAAGCTACTACCTATAGAGTCATATCCCTTAATTATACCATCTATTTGACGTCTCTCTCATCTCAATCTTTCATTTTTGCAAGCGTGGATTCAACAATTTGAGGAAGGAAATATCATCGAACATTGATGGTTGGTGTATGATTGGAATACCTTCTAGACCGTGTTCATGTTTGTTGATCTTCGTTCATCAATTTGACTGTAGTTTGATGACATTTTCTTCTTCGAATAGTTGGATACACTCCTACAAAAATAGAAGATTGGCATTAGAGAAATGTCAAGTATATGGTACAATTGGGGGATATGGCTTTATAAATAGTAGTTTATTGCATCATTTTCAACACTCGACTCTGTCATACTACACAATTTAGCTTTACGTGGATAAGATAAGTGAATTGGTTGGGGGTGGGGGGCTAGAGTTTTTTAGAGTTGAGATTAAGGATGCTTTATTGGGTTTTAAAGAAGTTTGATGGAGTCGTGAAAGTCGCGTTTCATATACAGTGATTTTAGAGAGTTGATGGTTTGGTTAAGTTGTAATTTTTTTAACGATTGTAACTTGTCAAATGAAATTGTCAAGCGATACATTAGCAATAAAGGGAACAAACATGGTGGATGATTGATGGAGAGCAACATCATAAAGATGAGTAATCATTGAGAAATATTTTGAAGTTTGATAAGTAAACTTGACCAAGTGTTAGTTGGATGAGTAATGAAATAATAGTTTGACCGAACTGTAATTTTTTTAGCGATCGTACTTGTCGCGTGAGATTTCCGTTAACCATATCACGTTATGATAACAAATTTTTTAGAGTGATAGATGGAGTACAAACGACAAATTTCAGTTAGCACTGTGAAGCACTTTGACGTGTAGTGAATAACTCGTGATAATGATATAAGTTGGGTGATTATTGAAACAATTAACTCGACCTTCTTTCTCCATGATCCGATGACTAGGCCATGTTTGGTTAAGCTTATGAGATTTAATATAAATAAATAAGTTACATATGTGAATTCAATCCTAATGACTCACGTTTAGTTTTGACGTTTTAATAAAAGTTGATAAAATACATGTTGAAATTTTGGTAAATATCATGGATTCCATGTATGATTAATTAATTTTTAAAGAAATAGAAAAAGAATGTGAGTGTAGTAAAGAAAGAGAATGTCAATTAATAGAAGAAGAAGAATATTTAATAAAGGAAGAAAGAGAAATATGTTTAGAATTTGTAGAAATTGAAAAAATATATAATTTATTAGTAACAGAACAAGATATAGAAAATATGATAAACAAATTAGAAATTTTAGAAATTTTAGGAGAAAATGTTTTAAAATATTAGGAGAAAGATAAAGTTTTATGTGAATTAAAAATAAAAAATCCAGAATACATAATTAAGACTAAAAATATTGAAACTACAAATCAAGATATTGAAGATTTCAAGATGCATATTAAAAATCTTTTAAAATTAGGAGTTATAAGAAAATCAGATAGCCCACATAGATCAGCAGCTTTTATAGTTAGAAAACATTCAGAAATAATTAGAGGAAAAAGTAGAATGGTTATAAATTATAAAAGACTTAATGATAATACAATAGATGATGCATATACTATTCCAGATAAGACTATCTTAATAAATAAAATTCAAGACTGTAATATTTTTAGCAAGTTTGATTTAAAATCAGGATTTTGGCAAGTTAAAATGCATCCAGATTCTATAGAATGGACATCTTTTACTTCTCTAGAAGGTCATTATGAATGGTTAGTTATGCCTTTTGGTTTAAAGAATGCTCCTAGTATATTTCAAAGAAAAATGGAAAATATTTTTAATAAACATAGTAAATTTATTATAGTTTATATTGATGATATTTTAGTTTTTAGTAAAAATAAAAGAGAACATAGAGGTCATTTACAAATTCTTTTTTCAGAATTTATAAAATATGGTTTAATTGTAAATAAGAAAAAGATGATGTTATTTAAAGAATATATAGAATTTTTAGGAGTTAATATAGGAAAAGGTAAGATTGAATTACAACCTCATATAGCTCAGAAAGCTTTAGAATTCCCAGATAAGCTTGAAGATCTTAAACAATTACAGAAATTTTTAGGATTAGTAAATTATGCTAGACCTTTTATTAAGGATTTAGGAAAGATGGCAGGGCCATTATATGGAAAAACATCTCCTAAAGGACAAAGATATTTTAATATAGAAGATATTAAATTAGTACAAAAAATAAAAGAAAGATTAAAAGATTTACCTAAATTAGATATGCCATTAGATACAGATTATTTGATTATAGAAACAGATGGAAGTATAACAGGATGGGGAGCAATTTTAATTGCAAAACCCAATAAGTATGCAGGTAAAGATCTTGAAAAAATTGTTAGATACAATAGTGGAAATTATAAAGAAAAAGGTAATATAAGTAGCATAGATTTAGAATTACTTGCAGTTAATTATGCATTAGATTCTTTTGAATTATTTATTATTTCTAAAAAAGAAATTACTTTAAGAACAGATTGTGAGGCAATAGTAAGTTTTGTTAATAAAATGAAATTAGAAAATAAAAGAAGTAATCGAAGAAGATGGTTAAATTTTATAGACAGAATTACTAATACTGAATTAATTATTAATTTTGAACATATTAAGGGTAGTAATAATCAGATAGCAGATATTTTAAGTAGAATAATTAAAAATAAAGATTATGACTGATTGTTTGCAGATGCAGAGACCCAGATGACCAAGACCAGGATTGCCAATTGTTGGCAGTTCAAGTTCTCAGACAAACATAATACAGACTCATGATAAGGTAAGGTTTGGTAGTATAGAAGTACTTTGTTTTCCAAATAGTAATATTAGTTTTAAGACACTTCCTCATACTTCAGTTACAAAATCAGAAAAATGTATTTTAGACAATTTATGGATTTCTTATAATAAGAATCCAAAAGATCAAAAATATTTTTTAGCATGTTTAAATGCACTTTCAGAACATTTTGGTCAAGATCATAAAAAATTTAAGTGTTATGTTGTTTTACAAGGTAGACTTCCAGGAGTTTATCATACTTGGTTAGAAGTTTCAGATTGTATTAAAAATTTACCAAATCCTCTTTATAAAGGATTTTATTCAATTTCAGAAACATTAGAAGAATGTAGAAAATTTTTAGGGATAAATTATTTTGTGGCACCTTCTTTAAAGAATGTTTCAAACCAACCCTTAAATTATGTTTCAAAATTTTGTGAGCATTGTGAATGTATGACTAAGAATTTTAAAATTTTAAATGAGTCTAATCAAGTTTTACAACAAGAAAAAAATAATACAATACAAGCTTTCGTTCTTACAAAATGTTCTAATTCTCTTTTCTTTCCCGAAAGGGAAATTCTTAATCTATCTTATTTTCAGATATTATAATATCCCACAAAAATATGTTGTTTAAAATTTTTAAACTACTGACAGATCATTCCAGTAGGTATGTTTTATAGTTCTAAGATGTGGTACTAATAATTAATATTAGTTCCAGATCTTTTAAGAACAATTGTTGTTTATAAATTTCTATGATTTTGTAAAAAGTTTTATGCTTCATGCTGAGTATATGATAAGAGCATGTCTTAACTCCAAGTTAAAGTTTAAATTGTTTTTAAAATAAGTCCTGAATGACCTCTCAAAGTGTAAAAGCCCAGTGAAGAGGCTAGGAGACGCATAGAAGAAGGAAAGAGATCTCTTTTTTAAGAATTCTTGTTAAGGGAGTGCCAGTGGTGTCCTTATAAGAGTGGAGTTAGGCCAAAGTTCATATATCTCAAATGGCATTTTTTCTTTTAATGTGGTTTAAAAAAAAAAAAGAGTAAAAATGGATATTATTTTATCAAAAGAATAAGATATCATGATTAAGAAGAGTACTGAGTAGGATATTTTTCAACAGTTTTCACAACAACAGTCATTCAACAGCCTTCACAACAATATATATATATAGTAATAACAATAAGTGTAATTACTTATTTTAACTATAAGTAGGAGTTAACATTGAAATTGAACAAGTTAGGATCACGAAGCAAGCCATTTTAGATTCTTTTAAAAAGAGAATTAGCTTTTGGTGAACTGGGAAAAAAATAGACTGTGTAAAGAATTGATTAAGTGTTTGGTAAATTCTATTTCAAAAATGTTGTATGTTTCAAAATCAGTATTTTAGATCCTATTTAGTTTGCGCTTCAATTTTAAATTTTGAATTCATTTTCAATTTTCTGTTTTGTAGCTTGGAAACTCATTTGATATGTTATTATGAAAAACTGATTTTCAAAATAGTACACTAAAAAACAAGTTTGTTTTGTAATGAATTTGATTATTCAGTATGGGAGAAGGCGTGTTATTTGGGTAGATTTTATTTATCATCAGGAGGAGGAAGTATATTACTTTTACTTCACTTATTTCTACGTGACAGGCAGTATGTGGGTGGTGGTTGTAGACGATGATTGGGTGGGTTTTAGTTTGATTTGGTTGGGGGTGGGGAAAGAAGATGAACCTTTTTTATTTCTTTTCTTTTTCTATTTGATTTAGATATATTATTTGTTTTATGTGAAAAATATAAAATTACTATTTTGACATTTTAAAATTGTAGTCAAAATCAATTTTTTGGTCAACTAACAGACACATGGATGAAAATTGTCCATATGGCCTTTTGTCGCATGGGAATGAAATATTTTGGACCGTGACTACAACAAATGAAATATTAGGTAAAAGTTATAAAAAATTGAAAATTTGAGGATTGTGATTGCAATTTTCCCTATATTTTATATGTAACTAAAATAAATTATGGGAAATTTGAGTGAACATACTTTTTTAACTAATAAAGAATATAATATAACACCATTATATATTTTGAGTAAATGTGGGAATTATGTTATGGTTGGAGCTCAATTTCAACCAAAACCAACTAAACTTCAATCAAAATTAAAACACGATTGAATATAATCAGTTGAGAATCAATAACCCAAGCTGGAACTTCATTAATTGACTGGAATTACACAGAAACGACAGAATGTAAATTGCATTTCATTGATTGATAAGCTCTATTACAATGTGAACAAATATAAAATAGAAAGAGAAGGATCAATAGAGTAAGAAGAGACAGAGAAGATGGAGAAGAAGAACACAACAAGAAGGAGACGGGGAGGAAGAGGGGAGAAGAAGAATACCAGATAGCAGAAGAAGGAACACAGCAGGAGAATGGAACACAACAAGAAGAAGAACCGAGAAGAGGAGGTAAGAAGACTAGCTGCACGCCCTAGTTCAATTCATCGATTCCTTTCCAAATGCGGAGATACCAGTACATATAGACCCAAACAACAAGGGCTTTGAGCTAGCTGACTGACAATACAAGTCCAATTAGATCAAATAAAGGTAAATAGTCCAATAAGCAAGAGTTCATGACATCCTTTCCCCTTAAATTAACCTTGTTCTCAAGGTTTAAAATCGGAATGTCTTCTTTGTATGTTGTTAGCCGTTGCCTAATTCTCTTCACCATCCTTGGATTAAGCAAGTAGTGCAAAGCGACATATGCTTAGTTGACATTATTTGGACCACCTTCAACCAGCATGCCCAACAACCTTTAGATAGAAGTGGCTGATATACCAGATGCCCAATCATGATCAATGGAACTAAAGAAGAGTGCAGAACGGAAACATTCTGCATCAATTGTTTCAGTAAAATCTTTCCTTGTAAGATGGTTGCCAGCAAGAACTACAATGGCCTGAAAAGCAGATAGATGTAGCTGAATCGCGGTGGCAGAGTTGCAGCCCACTTCATCTCTATTTTCCTGGCAATGAGAGTGGACACTTGTACATTTAAGAGCCCACTCTGTGAACTTCTGGACCTTGGCACCACCTTCTGCCTTTAGAACTTCATCTCCATTGCATTCTAGTAGTCATTCAAGTGGAGCTTCCCTAGAAAAAACTACATCCCCACTTCTTTTCCCTTCGACCTTTGGAGTATTAATAACCGCAGCCTCGTTTTCATGATGATTACCATTGCTAAGAGTCGGATCTCCAGTTTCATCAGTTTCCATTTCCATGTCTTCTTCCTCATCTTTATTTTCAGCAAATTGTCTATAAATCTCACTTGAAAACATGTCCCAATCAGCATTGGGATGGTTGAAGATGAAGCCATGAAACCATATACGCTTTCCCCTTCAAATACATCTCAACTATTCCCACCCTCATTTCATTAGCTACTTGATGTATCTGGAAATATTTTTGGGCTTCCCTCAGCTATTCTCTAGGACATTTTCCTCCAAAATAAGGAAAATCTATTTTGAGTAATTTGGTATTCATCCTAGCCTCTCTAGCTTCTAGTGTATTTCAAAAGTAATGGTCACTTTCCATAGGACTGCCACTACTGATTTGAGATGGAGTACCATAACCATCAACTTGTTTCTCCTTGTGGTTTGCCCTCATTTCACCCATCATAGACACCATAGATTCATATTTAATGTTCATTTCCATCATCAATTGCTCCATCCTATCTTGCTTGGTACATAGAACTTCCAACTTTTCCTCCCATGATTTTGCAATCACACCTATATCTGATATTTTCCTGTGTAACATTTTCAATTGAATTGCTCCTAGTTTCAACCATACCCAGATCACGTTGCTGCTCTAATACCATTTGTTATGGTTGGAGTTCAATTTCAACCAAAACCAACTTAACTTCAATCAAAATTAAAACAAAATTGAATACAATTAGCTGGGCATCAATAACCAAATCTGGAACTTCATTAATTGACTGGAATTACACATAAACGACATAATGTAAATTGCATTTCATTGATTGATAAGCTCTATTACAAGGTGAACAAATATAAAACAAAAAGAGAAGGATCAGTAGAATAAGAAGAGACAGAAAAGATGGAGACAGATTCAGAGAAGAAGAGGAGAAGAAGAACACGGCAAGAAGGAGACGGGGAGGAAGAGGGGAGAAGAAGAATACCAGACAGCAGGAGAATGGAACAAAGCAAGAAGAAAAAGAAGAACCGCGAAGAGGAGGGAAGAAGACTGGCTGCACGCCCTAGTTCAATTCATCGATTCCTTTCCAAATGCAGAGATACCAGTACATATAGACCCAAACAACAAGGGCTTTGGGCTAGCCCACTAACAATACAAGCCCAATTAGATCAAATAACGGTAAATGGTCCAATAAGCAAGAGTTTATATTTTCTACTTTTTTTAACTTAAAAGTGGTTAAGTTATACAATTATATGAAATATTGAAGGTAATATGATAGACTTTTCATAAATTTTAAAAATTCAATACCGTGAATGATACTATTACAAATTGTTTAAAAATATAAGGGCAAAATGTTAAACTATTGTTTCTCAAATATCCCCACTTTTTATTTAGGATGTTGTCACTTTTTATCTCTAATCTTTACGAAATGTTATAATCTATCATCAATATTTTTTTGGCACCAGACATTCTTAATATTTTTAAAATGTAGCAAAATTCACCCTTTCACCATTTTGGCCACGTAAAAATTTGTCCCTTATTTAAATAAATAAAAAATAAAAAATAAAAAGAAGATTTTATGAAGAATCTCAACTCTTTTCAAAATGAACAAATAAATCTTATTCACGAATCGAGGTTCTCCAAACCAAACCAATCCACTCCACAACCAATACCCAATTGAGGCGGCGAATTCAACAACATAGTTGTCCTATTGCATTATAATCAATGCGATAAAAGTTGATAATGGAAAAAGAAAAAAATCGAAGGCAAATTTTTTGTAAGTACGCTGACATTCTCACATATTCTTTAAGCCCTTATTCAATGTAGATTAAAATAAATTTTTTTAGTGAATTTAGATAAAAATTAATAAAATGTGTAGTTAAAAAATCGTAAGTAGTATGAGATGTGTGAATAAAATTAACTATTAATTTTAACTTGAATTTTTTTATTAATTTTTATTCTACACCATGATTGTTGCAATTTAAGATGGCCTCACGGTTTTCATGACATATTTGGCCCCACCACATTAAAAAAAAAAAAAAAAAAAGGAAGAACAAGAAGAAGCAAGAAACAACCACACGAAAATAGTGGACGACTCTAAAAGCACCTAAAGGTTGCACTTGCACTACATTTGCTTTAGGCAATTTCCACCAAGATTAATTCAAGATCTTCGCTTTGAAAAAAATTATTTTTTAATTTAGTCCGTGTTTGATTTAATGGGGATGGGTTGGCAGTAGAAATGATTATATTTTATTTTATTTTTTGTTGCAAATGACATGGATCTGAGAAGGGTTGTTGACGCGTAGTGAAATAGTGACGGTGGTTGAAATGGTAGTGGTGGTTGCAGCTGACTAGTGATGGATTGGGTAGAGTTGTGGGATGAAAACAATTTACTTTTTTTTATTATTTAGTTGCCTTGCTTTCTTTTTTGTATTTATTTAAAGAGGTGATAAATTCATCATCTTACGTGATCAAAATGGTGAAACGATGAGTTTTACTACATTTTCAAAAGGTTGATGATGTCTAGTGCCAAAAAGAGTCAAGGATAGATTAGTAACATTTTGCAAAGACGGGGGACTCTAAATGCCAAGAACCCTTTTATTTATTGTAGATTCATTGTTGATAGTATTGAAAAATTTATTTTATTTTTATAATAATATATTCATATAATGTTAAAATAAAAAAAAATCTATTAAATTTCAGAATTCATAAAATTATAAATAAAAACATAGTCCAAACAATAGAAAAGTCCAAATAGTAGAAAAAGAATTAATTAATTAAATTAATTAGAATTAGAATTAAATATTTTAGTTACAGATAATTAGATAAGCTAAAATTTAATTTAAAAAGTTATCATTTTTCTGTTTCTCCAAAAAATGTACATATTATTCTATAATCAATATTTTTAGAATTTTTCAAAAACCTAAAACAACTTTTAATTATTTGGACTTTAAGCATTACCTTACTTACTAATTAATATAACTCGTGCAGGAATGATGAAAAGTAGTGCTCTCCATAAATACATGAATTAGAGTTTTTTTATGAAAGTCTTTTACCTCGACATCATGGTCAGGTTGGGTTAACAGGTCAGATTCTGAAGGAACAGAAAATTGAATTTTTTTATCGATAAGATTAACTTCTCATCCATTATGCGATGATCCTTCCTTTCGTCACTTCAAGGCACTAAATTTTACTTTTGTTCTTGCTTTGGAGGTTAGGTCTAACCAAGTGCGGAGTTAGGAGAGACTAATTTTTTTTTTTTTGAGCTAATATGTAAAAAAAAAAGAAGAAGAAGAAGAAGAAATTCATAGTAGATTATTTTCTACATATGAAAAATTACACTCTAGAAAAAATATAGCACCCATTCAAGATTCAGTTATGAAAATTGAACTGATAAAATAAGCCCCTGCTTTGATGGCCATTATTTGGCAAAAATAAAGCTTTGAATTAGTGAATATTTGAAAAATGTGTGGTTAAAAAAAGGGAAAAAATTGAGTTTATGTGCCGAACATTTTATTGTGTGAATGTGTAGTTAAAATTGAGTATGTAAAATAAAAAATTTTAAAATTGTTGTGTAACCCAAATTCTATTAGAAATTGATGTTTGGTTTAATAGGATTTGGTGTTTGATTGATAAAGGGAATCTAAATACTTACTGGTTTGAAAGTCCAATTTGAAAGATGATCAAATTTCATCAAGGATTGAGAAATTTTTTAGAGGACTTTCGATAAGTTGAAAACTCAGTTTTGGAGTTTTAGACAGAGATAGAGTACCCCAAGCGCTGGGAGCGCGGAAACCCATGACAGAAGAAAACAACAAATTTGACCTGAAACTCAGCGAGGCAGCGCTTGAGTGCTGCCTATGTCGCTTGCTTACTGCGAGGCTATTGCTCAAGCGACAATATTATCTGGGTAGAGTCCTGTTGCGATTCTACTTCTATTTCTTGAATTGTAATCCATTTAAAACATTAGAACTATATATCCCACGACTTGTATACTCTTCTTTAGAACATTTTGTTAAAATCAAAGAACTAAATCATTTAAGAGGAGGAGACGCACCAAAAAAAAAAAAAAAATCATTTTGGGTTTTCACGTAAAATCTTGTTGTTATTGTTTGTGATTGTTTTATTTCATCTTACAATTATCTTGTTCCAATCATAACAAATTAGTATTAGAGCAATGCTGCTTTTATGCATGGCAACGATGAAATATGATATTCTGCTAATGGATAGCAACACGAGGTTTTTCACTATGGCAAATTAAGATGTGAGCTATGCTCGCGCAGATGGATTTGGATGACGCCCTATTAGGGTTTGATAAAATGCCTTCTATTTGAAAGCAAGAAGAAAAGCAGTGTAAAGATCGAAAAGCCATGTCACAAATTCATCTCCATCTATCAAATAATATTCTTTATGATGTTCTTAAAAAAATGCCGTTGCGTTGTAGTTGAAACTAGAGCAGTTTTGTATGACAAAAAGTTTGGCCAGTAAGTTACACTTAAAATAACATTTGTATTCTTAATGTATGTCCGAATGTACGTCTATTGAGGATCGCTTGGTAGTTTTTAAGGAAATTGTATCTAATCTTGAGACTATGGAAGTTAAATATGATGAGGAGGATCTTGCATTATTAATGTTGTGTTCAATATCGGCTATTAATATGACTTTTAGAGAACTATTCTTTATAGTCGGGATACTCTCATGGTTGATGAGGTCTATGATGCTTTACTATCAAAGGACAAGATGAAGCATCATGTAGTATGATCAGAAGGCCAAGCAGAGGGTTTGGTCATTCGTGGGAGGAACCAAGATAAGAATCTTAGTGGTAATAGCATATTGAAGTCTCAACATAGAGAAGACATGTCACTTTTGCAAAAGAAAAAAAAAAGGAACATATTAGAGCTGATTGTTACAAATTAAAGGATGCGTTATTGGCGCAAAACGTCCCTACCTATGACGGGTTGTGTGGAAAACGTCCCTACATTTGATTTTTTGGTGCAGAACGTCCCTACCTATACATTTTCTTGCGCAAAACGTCATTTTCCCTAATTTTTAACTTAAAATGACCTATATA